AAAGAGCTTTACTGAAAGGGGAAGACGATGGGCCAACTTGCCAAGTAATCACTAGATTTTTAACGGCTTACAGAAGCACTCCGAACCATACGGTCCCGGATGGGAAGTCTCCAGCTGAAGCAATCTTTGGAAGAAGTATTCAGACTATTTTTAACGCGATGTTGCCCCCTAAAAGAGTGAGTAGATACAGGCAAAATCAAAATATTCACAGCTTCAACGTCAGCGATAAAGTATTCCTAAGATCATATCGGCGGAAAAATCAATGGGAACCAGGAACCGTCGTACAAAGACTAGTATAGATAATCTAAAATAGCACTGACTATTGCTCACTGTTTACCACATGCGACACTCATCTTATGTAACTGAGAGAATCGTAAAGCATATTGTCTACAAAGTTGGTATATAAATATACATAAATAGCTGAGTCACTAGATAATCCGAACCGCGAGTTTAGAACATATCTCTCACGATTGCACCCAAGTTGCAAACAGTAGTGTAAATTAGCTAGACTAGCATATGATTATTGCTGCTATTATTACCGTTACTCATTCATATTAAGAATAATAGATATTTAATCACCATAACACATTTAAAACCGCGAAACATCCATTTCGGTTGTATTAACGTCTAGATTCAGCGCAAGAATTTTCTATCACACATGCAAGCCAAAGAAGTATCATCAACGACCCACTCCAACCAGAAGTATTTATATATTTTTTATGACTTCCAAGTATTTTGAAATCAGAGAACATCATATATGAGAGTGGTTTTAGTAAACAAAAGTGCTGCACCTACACGCACTTAATCCAACATCCTCCACGGTCCTGTGTCACGTACTTAAAGAGTACACTATTTCCACCTGAATGCGCCTAACTTTAATACTTGCTTATCCGACCGATGACTAGTACAAAGATTTTGACCTACCTGAAATAAAGACTAACAACATGGACAACAAATCATTCTTCTGAGAGACTTTAGAAGTCTCCTTTTAAAATGCATGCTAATTGTAAGCGAATTATTCACTTAGTCAGTAAAACTGATAATCTCATCAAACATAATGATCCAACCTAATTCCAGGACTCCACTTTCATTGTTCATTGGTTCATTTATGCTTTTTATTAATACTCCTAGTCAGCGGACACATTTTTACTCGAGGTTCGGAGAGAGATTAAGGAAAATGGCCGTTACAACAGAATCAAGGCCATGCATATACCTGGATCGAATGATGTACCCGAAATCTGGAGGGTTTATATTGGTAGTAATTAGTGAGTGACGTCCTGTTTTATTAAATACTTATTCCTGAGATGTCTTTACAGTGTCTCTTGTATTTAGGAAGGAGGTTCTGCAAACAGAGCGTTTACGTGGAGTTAAATATTTATTGGTAATAATTTCACATTCCATTTTTGTACCTAGATTTCCATAAAAACAGTGAAGCGATTTTTCAGGTCTAACTGATTATAATTTTTTCAGATAGCTTCTTATTTTTTTTCTGAATTTAATATGGCTTAAGAGGCAGGTGTGTTAACACCTGATAGTCTAGACAGAGCATGTGCTCACCAACATTGTACTGGGTAGCCCGCTTACGGCACTTCTTCAGATATTCTTGTTTCATTCCGTTCTTTGTATTGCTTTCCCGAGGTTACGTATGAGAAGACAAGTGGGACGGAAATAATTTGGCTGCTACAGTGATTAGATAGAAAACTAACATATATTCACCACTTATCGAATGTGTCTGATCAAGCTACTTTGACACTCTTGATTTGTCTGATAACATGCCGATCTCTTCAGTTGTTGTTGCGTCAACATCGGTTGGAAGGTCTGTAGGTGTTGGGTGGATTCAGAGGGCAGCTGACTTATTTAAGAGCTCTTCAGAGTGCTCTACTCATTTGTTTCTCTGTTCTTGAATGTCGGTGGTTGATTTGCCTTGCTCACTCTTGACTGGTAGTTCCGGTTTACTACATTTTCCAGCGAGCCTCTTCGTTGTATCATGTAGTTATCTGGTGTTCCGTCTTGTTTGGTTTGGTGCATTTGACCAGTGTCTTTGCTTTCACTGCTCTTGTTCAGCTGTTGTCGACTGGTATCCTCTTGTTCGTTTGTTTCTTTAGTCTTTTCTAGGGTATCAACAGTGTTGTGTGTACTAATATGTCGAGACCACACGGCTTGTCTCAGCCTTCAAACAAACCAGTTAATTCATCCTCCTCGAGTTGTTATTCGCACGTCTTTTTACCTCATCAGTGATTCGCTTATAATCTTGATTGCTTTAACTTGTGTGTGTGTGTTTGGAAAGGGGGGTGATGGTGCATTGCTTACTTCCCTTATAACATGTCTACCTCATTTTCTCTGACTGAATACTTAGCCTCGCTTTAACCATTCTCTATGTTGTCTGTCTGCTTACACGAATGTATGGAACAAGTTCACAGGGTCTTAAATAACCATTGTTGCGCAAACGGCATTCACCTAAGGATGATATGAGAAAACTAGATGAAAGATTAGTGTCACAGAATGCTCAATCGTTTGACCCAGTTTGAGTCAGATCCCAGGCCACTGAAATGGGGAGCCGTTTCTCATGAGGATGTCTGCGGCGACGCATCACCTCGTGGCATCTTGAAGCTACTCATTCCTGAATTCCTTTCCAGTTGTTCTGCACAGTGCATTCCTCTTCACTGAGTAGATCGTGTGAGTCTTGGAACTTATTGCTGAGAGCTATCTTGAATTCGTTGAGTTTCCCAGTATCCCGAAAAGAGGTCGTTTTAAACTCTTGTGATGCTGTTCGCCCTGTTGTCCAGTGCTCCTTGAGTTTCAGTTTCATCTTGGTCACCATGAAGTGGTGATCTGAAGATATGTCAGCTCCTCTCTTTATTCTCACCTCCTCCACTGTTCTTCTGAACTTTTCCTCTGTGCAGGTGCGATTAATCTGGTTCTCTGTAGTGTGATCCAGTCAAATCCATATAGCTATGTGTGTTTGTTTACCTCTCCCATCAGAATCGTCAAATCGTCACATAAGACTGATATTTATCGTCATCGTTTCTACCATTGGTGGATGCTTAGCATTTAATGAAATCCATTGTAATTCCTTTCCTCTCAGTCTGGATGGATGATCTGATTGTCCTGAATGTATGAGATTTCCATGTTGTAAGTGCAACTCCTTGTGTATGAATCACTTTCTTCTTTAGGACCAGAGTACAATGGAGACTCTACTGAATCTAATCTTTTCTGTCCAGCTTGTGTCCAATGGTTTTGACTTACTCCAAGTACATACCTACTTACTTACCTACTTACGCCTGTTACGCCCATTGGAGCATAGGCCGTCCACCAGTTTTCTCCAATTAACTCTGTTCTGGGCTTCCTTCTCCAGTTCTGTCCAATGTTTGTTCATTCCTCTCATATCTTTCTCTATTTCTCGGCGTAATGTGTTCCTTGGCCTTCCTCTTTTCCTTTCTACTTGAGGGTTCCATGTGAGGGCTTGTCTCGTGACGCAGTTAGGTGCTTTCCGCAATGTATGTCCTATCCACTTCCACTGCTATCTTCTGATTTCCTCCTCCACTGGAATCTAGTTTGTTTCCTCCCACAGTACCTTGTTGCTGATGGTGTCTGGCCAACGAATCCGAAGTATTTTGCGTAGACAACTGTTGATAAATACTTGTATCTTCGGGATGATGGCTTTCGTAGTTCTCCAGGTTTCGAAGTTGGGCGTCTATGAAGTCCATTCTATTTAACAATACCCTGTTGAAGACTTTGCCTGGTATTGAGACAGAGGTGATGCCTCTGTAGTTTTCACGCTTTCTGAGATCGCCTTTCTTTGTTATTCTGATCAGGTATCCTTCTTTCAATCTGATGGTACTTGTTCCTCATCCCAAATCTTCTTGAAGAGGATGTGAAATATTTTCGCAATTGCTTCTACATCTGCTTTCATTGCCTCTGCTGGAATGTTGTCTGTTCCTGCTGCTTTGCTGCTCCTGATTTGTCTGATGGCCATACTGATCTTCTCAATTGTAGGTGCGCCAATATTAATTGGGAGGTCCTTGGATGCTGCTTTGATGTTGGGTGTGTTCAGTGTAGCTGGTCGATTCAATAGTTCCTGAAAGTGTTCTACCCACCTATTTCTCTGTTCTTCAGTGTTGCTGATTACTTTGCCTTCCTTGTTTTTCACTGGTCATTCTGGTTTACGTTAGTTTCCGGCAAGCTTCTTTGTTGTTTCGTACAATTGTCTCAACTCCAAGTACATGCATGTTGTATATTTTCATTTATGCAGCAACATTTTGTTAAATAACGGATATATTCCACCGCCATATAGCTCAGATTCCATAGATTATTCTGAATTATCATGAAGTACGATCAACTTTGTCACGGTTATAAAAATGACTTCTTGTTGGCTACTAGAGAATCGAGGATAACATAATGTCCTGAAATACGGTGACTTCATTCTACATTACTGAGCGTACTTAACGTACCTTGATCTTATGGATCCGTCCCACCAGTCAGTAGAGGTAGGACACTGGTTTTATTTATGCGTAATGCCTCCTAAATAGAGTATTTTCATGAAAATATTTGGTGTTTATAAAATCCTCTTATCAGGCGCTTTAAAACAGAGTAATCAGGTCGAATTTCTTACACCTCACTGAATATGTCAGTACATATTGGTATCGATATTCGAACGATGCCGACTCGACAGACCCTTAAACGACTTGGAAAATGTTTACCTTAACCTAGCTTTGCATTCCTGAAGGTTGTTTGAGTGTTATTAATTCAACACTTCCGCGGTAATTTAGATGTGGACGTTGGTAACTTGGTCTTTCGAATGTTTTGTGTATTTTCAATTTATCTTGTCCATGGTACTTCATTTACCTAAAGATCTCTAGATAAATAAAGCTTCTTATTTATTTGGTTTCTGTTATCACATTCAGATTTGCTTTTTATATTTCTAGTGCGTTGACTGTTGGATCTCCCCGTAATTTACGTCTGATTTTGCACGCGCAGATATCTCCCCCACCACCTAGGGGATGAGCTTCACTTCTGATGAAGTCAATTTTCTTATATTCAGATATCTACAAGAATCAGGTTAGTCATGTGGTTCATAGTTTTAGTGTCATTTTAGGTTACTGTCATTCAGCATACCTGTTCGGCTTGGAAAGCCAAATCAGTCAGTCAAATGTTGATGGAGCCCTTGTTCCTCCCGGTTCTTTACTAAGCCTGATTCAGAAAGGGTTACAGTATACAGAGGCTGAAATAAGCATTGGCGAGGTATGTCCTAGTTGTGCTAATCATTTGTCTTAGGATGGCAGTGAGCGTGTTGTCGAGTCACTTTCTTTGATTGATGCTGTCGTCCCAGATGTAATTGAAAAGCGTAAAAATTTCCTTAAACAGCAGAACACCACAAGTTCCGCCAGCGTATGTACTCCCAGCAGTGTGCACTGCAACAGTACACCTCTATCGTCGAGTGTAAACTGTATTCCACATGTAGGACCCGTATCTGTTACTTCCTCTTCTTCTGATCAGCTGTTGTCAGTAAATTCCCATTCTTTTCCTTTGGATATATCAACAGTTCCTAACACACTGCACACACAATCCGACTGCTCTCATAGTACAGTGGGTCACGCCCCCATAAAAAATGATATTTCAAGCATTTCTTCACATCCACACTCCCACCAGCACAATACACTTCCTCCCTCTACCCTTGGCACGATCAAATCAAATAATCCTTCAAATGCAGTTAATACGTCTGCACTTAATCAGCCAAACAACATAAATCAATCAACTCTATCCACTCCTGTTTGCACTGTCGCCCCAATCACTGCATCAAACACTGCTCCGTTAATTGGAATCAACAAAATCACAGCTGCTTCTCAGCAGTCCTCTATAACATCCGGACAACTTAATACTCACCATATCCCTCAATCTATGCTTCTGTCATCTATACAGACGAACGGTGAACACCATGGTGGAGCTATGGGTAATTTTCCTGCCTTATGGATTTTGTTACTTGTTACAATTTTAGTTCATTTTATGCACCGTATGTTTTATTATAAACGGATAAGTCACTCAATATGTTCCCCTATTACAATCCCAAACTTTGTAAGCGAGAAACTGACGTTCAGATGGCTTGCTTAATTACATAAAACTAGCTTGTCAGTTCAGCTACCATGATTTTATGTAGTTAGAACAGTCAACAACTCTTGCCTCTAGAGCAATGTGTAATTGATCAGTTTTGAAAGAGGTGTAGCTTTATATTTGTAAAGTCGTCCGTTTCGTCCAATTCATGGAAGAGGATTTTATTGGACATGTGTTCTCAGCCTAATACTAGATGTAATAAAATCGATTACCGTATTAAAGTCACTCAAAGTCTACCTGTCGGTGAAGCAGTAAGTTTAAATGGTGTACTCATGTCGTAACAACCGGTTGACTAATATCAACTGAGTTCCGAACTATAACCCATTCAATAAATACCTTATATTAGGAATCGACGTAGTTTGTCAAGCAGCATGTTATTATTAACATTCACATTTTACGTACTAAATTTTGACAACTGGAATAAGCATTAAAAATCCAGTATCACGTCTGAAATAGCTACACTTCATTTTTAAATCTACAGCAAGAATCTATCGTTTTGTACAGTGATTACAAGACAAGCCATTTTTAAAGCAAACGTTTGAGGCAAAAAGTGTATAACATACAAGCTAGTGTGTGCATTCCTGATGTGGTTACACCGTAACCTTATAACTGGACAAAAAGGCACTAATATTCTATCAAATATTTTATGTATTGTATCTAAAAATGTGTAAGTGGAGACAAGATTTCGGTGTCTGAACCTTTAGGGTACTATCTTATTTGCTGGTTTTTACTATTTAGTCCAAATAAGAGTTGTTGAAATGCTAATCCAACAGAGTAACGACAATTTAAACACTTCTTGAACCTGGAAATACCCTGTTTTTTCTACATCTCTTCTCTGTTACCGGTGAGGAATAATTTGCCTTGCGAATGTTTTTAGATGGTTGGGAATACTTGTAGTCCATGGTAGGGAGTTTTTAGTGTTCTCTGTGCTAGTTAATTTTATCGACTACAAAAATTGAATTAGCTTTTACTGACTTCTCGCCACAAATTCGTTGCAAAGCAGTAATGACGATCGAAACGTAGCAAATTAGTCAATTTATCCGGGATATTTGATTGTTCAGTCGATCTTTTGTACCTATATAGTCAGGCGATTAGAGTTGTGCCAAGTTGAGGCAGTAAAACTCACTGACTTCGTAAATAAAAGATTTCCGTTCCAACATTAGCTCTAAACCTAGTATCTGTTCGATTGTGACTAGTAGGCATGTATAACCGATGTCTTCAATCTCAAACCGTGTCTGGTTAGCGCCTCAGAACATTGAGGTGTACCCTAATCAAACAGTCCTGATAGGATCTACAAGTGCCGGTCCTACACAGCTTTATTCATACTACATCAATAGATGAAGTAATGAAACTTCATCAGTTGAGGTGGTTGGGACATGTGCTGCGTATGCCTAACCACCGACTGCCTCGACGAGCTTTGTTTTGTAGTGTAGTATTAGGTTGGAAGAAAGCTAGGGGCGGCCAAACCAAAACTTGGCAGAAATCCATGAAGTCATTGACGAGTGGACTTAGCCATATCGGTAATTGTCGACTACCTGGTTGGGGTCCTCGAGATGATACTAATCGATGGTTAGAGACCTTAAATGACATGGCTCAAAATCGTTCGCAATGGCGCCGGTGCATTTATTCTTTGTGTTCTCTCAAATCCTAATCTTCTGGATTCTTCAACCCCTCTAGTTTTGACTTCCTAAACTTTTCTCACTGAATCATACTTCTTGAATAATATCTTTTAATCCTAACCTCTTCGATTACTTCTAATACCCTTACTAACTCTTCTACTATTGGATTTGAATTGACAATTACATCTCTGTGCTGATGTGGTATGGCAACATGAACTGATGTACTTACGTACCAAGTTCTACGTTGCATCTGACTGACTCTTTCATACTACAGCGCCAGGCTATAAATTTGTTTGACGTCCTGGTGATACGTACTATAGGGCTGATCCCTAAAAGTACGATCTCAGTATTCTGTCTGTCATAAATTTGTCACCTCCGCTTTTTTCATTCGACCTAGTATTGGCAAATAATACACAATGTACATTCGTGACACATGGCCAAGCTAGTGTTTCAAGATAGCAACATTAATTGGATTATCGTCATTGTAACCAAACATTTGATTGGCGAGCTTCAACACCACTAACATGATGTTAAAACTAAATAGCAGCAAACCTTCATAAACAACCGTGATTGAACACAGTCGCTGAACATTCTCGACTCGGAGAGAGCAAGTTTATTGACAAAGACCATACCTACTCCTGCTGATTTGTTGTAAACCTAATCTTTTACAGTCAGGTCGTTAGGACGGCACCAAAGATGTCCCACATCGGTATAAACCGCTCTGGGTTTTATTATGCTTAGGCTGATTTCACCTGTTACACCACTGTTGGTATTCACACAACTAACCACCCAGACTCAAGAATACTAACGAATCACTACAATGAGTGAATTAAGAGGCGGATTTTTCAGTCTTGAGAAAGTATTTGCATTTAAAGTGTACAAAGTACGTGTTATATTTACGGGGTTCCATGAAAAAACCTTAATAGGATGGTTGACATTTGTATTTATTGTGCATATTTATTCACTCTTAATCTTCCTTTGGAGATCTTGTTTGCTACTTATTTTCATGTTTCGCTCTTATACTACTTTTTGTACACTTGTTTTCACTTGTGTTGAACTTCTGTCGTTACTTTATTGGAGAGCACAACAACTATCCTTGTCAATGTTTATTCTTAAAGCAGAGTTGAAAAGCGTAATTTCTGCTGAATCAAGCAAAACAGTCTCGTGCTCATCAGCTTCAAATATCTTCCAGAATTTTTTTAGTAGTTTACGATATTTTTTTAACCTAATCATGATTGCTTAATTCAATAAAAAAATTAAGAGCGAAGTATCATGGCTTCGTTGTTATGACATTTGTATAGCATAAAAAGAAGGCACATTGAAATCAATCATTGTTAGACCACCATTAGAAACCTGAAAGCCCTGGACGGCCGTTTCGTCCTGGTATGGGACTCACCAGCAGTGCGCATCCACTGCTCCAGTATAACTTTAGTGGATGTATTTCGTTCCTTAGTGGTGTACGGCTCCTGAATTTTTATCTTTTGTGTGTTTAATTACTCACTGAGCAGTTAATAAATAGCTAAGGAATCTGGCTTTCAACGAATGTGTCAAGAGGAACGCAATATCTAACGCTTAAAGTGTATCTTCAAACCGGGTCATATGTCTGTACTTTGTGAATGGGTTATACCTGATAGTGTTTTACTACCAACCATCATAGTAAACCACTCACACGGTGTGGGCAGCCGGGAAGTGACATCTGCCCTCATACCCGTAGCAGCACGCGAGACCAAATCGGTCACAAACAAATCCATCCTACTCCTAACATCTCTCTTATCTTCATCTCTGCCACTTTTGGATTTGAACTGACAGTTGCGTCTCTGTGCTAATGCGGTGTGGAAACCTGAACTGATGTACGTACGTACGAAGTTCTGCGTTGTAACTAACTGACTGACAGTAAATAAACCAGGTTAATAAATTCGAAAGCTCGTTTTGGTCAGATACATATAATCCGACGTATCAGAATCGAATGTTCTAACCACTTTCATGGTACGGTTAACAGAATATTGAAAGTTCCTCAGTTTAGCTTTTCTTATTGTTAATAGTATCATCTTAAGTCGCACCTGTTAACATGACTCAGTCTAACTGGTGCTACCTATTGGTTTAGTTACCCCTATCTTTCTCACAAGCTATTCCACATACCTGTCTAAATGCACTATGGTTAGGAATACGTAACATATGTACTGATCACTCTAATTTATGAAGATTCACTACCTCAGCAATCGGTTCCTCATATTTCCGTCAAACCCTATTCCTAATCTGTGCATTGGTTAATCGGTAGTCTCAGAAAACACAGACAATGTTTCGGAGTCTTCTGTGGTCAAATACCAGTAACTTACGAATACCCCCTACTCTTAATAGCTAATTTTCACACCCGTGAAGTAGAACGGTGCGAACTGAAGATCTGTAAACTCGCCCTATGTTTAGTAGATGGATATGTCACGTACTCCGTGAGTGACGCAAGCTGGCAAACGCCAATCGAATCTTCTGTATCTATGCCGATGTTTCATCATGCGCCAGAACTGATGCGACTCCCGAGAATACTGAAGCGATCGACGCACCCAACCACTTCACCCTCCCCATCACATTAAAAGCTCCGGAATTTATTTTAAAGCCTGGTTCTAGAAAACCAAGAGCAGTATCTCGTGAATACGAATCGTTAGCATTGGTGGTGCTTGATGATACTGATATACGAAAAGGGTTGTTAGTGTGAAAAAAATTCGTGTCTGGATGGTTTTGCGTATTCTTAATAGTATGAGGGCAGTTGTCACTTCGCGGCTGCTCCCACTGTGAAATAATGTTTCTCGCAGGACCCGGAAAAGAAACAGTAAGTGGTGGTCATAGTAACCTGGTAGCGTGACCATGAATCCCAGGAAACAACTGCTTGAGGTGGGTCATTCGCGACTTGCACATGTTCGGTTGGCTTTCACTGTCGATCTAGGTGTTCGAACATCAGTAGAGTAAAGCAAATTACTCAAGATTAAGGTATAACGTGGTGACCCTGTTTCATATTTACTATTATTTGTAAGCTTAATTACGTCTTCGTCACTTGTGCACTTCCATAACAGCCCCCATCTAGTTTAATCAACACGTTCAGATTGTCTTATCATCACTTTCATACTCAAATATGTTTACTGGCTAAACCTATTTATCTTGTTGACAGCTGTTTCAGTATTTGTATTCGACCCTAAAAATGTCACCGAATCATTTTTTTATCGTACTAACTCAGAGCCTGTATTTCCTTTTGCTGATAGTTAATCATTATCGTGGCAACGATCCAATGGAAGTTGATAGAGTGCATGCTCCTGAAGTAAATAATACATCTCCTTTACTCACAAGACAAATTCCACCTGAACGGATCACGGTTCTAAAGGGTCATCAGTCAGAAGTCTTTATCTGTGCATGGAACCCTCGAAATGATATGCTAGCATCTGGGTAAGTCATTTTCTCAAATTTTCACTAATTGAAGTCTATCAGTTGTAGTAGGTTCGTATCCTTCGGAGTGTTGTTTAGTAATTTTGACATTCCATTCCCAAGTATTGGTGCACTGGTTTGGATTTTAAACTATTGCTTCGAAATTTAAGTGATTTTAGTAAATGTGAAATAAGCATATCATTATTCCTGTAACACCTAGGTACACATGATTACTTCTGTAGATTCATTTTACTGTAGGTACATAATATTCCTATACTTCTGATGCTTCGTTACTGAAATCGAGTTGATGTTCTGTTAAAGGTCGGACATGTCAGTATGTTATTGTTAGGTTTCAAAGCAGTTGAAATTCTCTGTGGTCCTTTTAGCTGTTATTAACAGTTAATAAGCATCTGGTGAACAACTTTTTAGTCTCTATATAATATTGTTGGGAGCAATTTTAATCCACTTGTACTGTGTAATCTGTCTTCATCGATACTGTAGACCTGATTCATAGATAATCCTTTACTCCGAAAATCTGACTCTTAATTCCATAACGTTTTTGTTATCTGTAAATCGTCCACTGCGGCCTATGCTCCATTAGAGGTAACAGGCGTAGGTCATTCACTCTTCAAAATTAGCTTCAAACTGTCTCGATTGCTTGTAAAAAATCAGTTATCCCCGTCTGCTATAATTTAGACAGTCGAGATGTGTTTTTCATATGTCCATCTTATCATTGCATTAAGCATCTATGAATCATCTCAGTATAAAAGTATCAATCATAAAGTGCCTGTGTGAAACAGAATACCCATAACTCCATTTCTTAAGTTTTTTTTTGAACTTGCTAAATTCACCCCGCTTAGTTTGTGTAAAATCATTAATTTTTGCTAAATTTTATTATAATCAGCTCAGGAGACTCAACAGCACGGATATGGAATCTTGAGGAACCAGTTGCGAATCCCCACCATGTTCCTCAGTTGGTCTTAACGCACTGGGTTAATCTTGATGGTCAAACTGTGCTAAGCAACAAGGATGTCACATCTCTGGATTGGAATGTAAGTCACCAAACAGTTAACTATTTCGGGAGTTTAATTAATCGTTTTTAGTCACAAATTTTAGTTTAAAAATGTTTCCAAGTGACGTAGTAGCATGCTAAATTTTCAAAGTTATGTATTTCTGTTAGTCACACCTCCGTTTCCAATCCTTCATATGACAATGTTGAGTTCTCTGCCTGTTTGGCGTCAGTCAGTCGGTTGCAACGTAGAACTTCATACGTATGTACATTAGTTCATGTTGCCATACCACATTAGCACAGAGACGCAACTGTTTGGCGACGTTTAATGTTCCGCTATAAGAGTAAGGAAGAAATACTTCCATTGTATTTGTATATGTTATATGTTATTGTTATTACTATTTTCATCCAGTTCGATCCTCCTTGAAAAGTCTTACTACTCACTCATTTGTTGACAAAGGGTTTACTCGTTTCTTAACACTTTTTATTTACATGCTTTAATTTACCAGTCTGATGGAAGCTTCTTGGCTACTGGATCATACGACGGATTTGCTCGAGTTTGGAATACTGACGGTATGTTGCTGCACTGTACTTAACTAGTAAATGCTTTCAGTCTGTGTTGCACTAAATACAGTTAGTATTTTTGAGTGTTATTTTATTGGATATTTGAATTCTACACTTTGGTTTTAGTTCATTTATCCTTGCGTATACTTTTATGAATAATAACACGTCATAATTTGGGATCACAGTTACGTTTTGACTGAAAACCATATTGATATGGATTTTAATAGAAGTCTCCAGCTATTCATGATATAATCAGTACTCGATTTACCATTACCGGTGTTCGATGTTAATGTTCACAGAATTATTGCTTATATTCTTTTCGAGGTCACTTCACTATTCGTGTCTAATATATTGGTTTTATGTGAGTCTTCCAACTGTTTCCTGAATTTAAAAAATGACAACAAGCAGATGCGAATAAAAGGCAAAATAACCATGTAGCGATCAATTTCATTTCAATGAAATTCATTGTGATAAGGTAACATCAAACTGTCTCTGTCATGTAGCATGTGCATCGCCGCTAAGTGTGTATGTCATTTGGTCTAACTGTATGAGTGTTACTTCTGGTGTCATTGGTTAGCGATCGAACATTTTATCGTTGATTTTCCTGTACCATGTTATGAAAACTGTTGTATTTTGACACCGTGATTTTCACATTCTCATACTACGTTTTGCTTTCCCATGTAAATGTTTTTCTGAAAGTTGTAATGATTCCATTTATGCCTCGTTCGATAATTGATTCATTGGTATCTTCCTTACAGAAGAGGTCAATTCTCCTTTACTTCTGTGCTAAATAGTACAGGATAAAATGATTAAGCTTATTTGGATTTGATCCTAAAGTGTAGGGGTTACTTTTCATTATTATTTGTCTTACTAACTCGACGAACTTTGTTTTGTAGCGTAGGAGTAGGTTGGAAGAAAGTTAGGGGCGGCCAAACCAAAACTTGGCAGAAATCCGTGAAGTCATTGACTAGTGGACTGAGCCATGTCGGTAATTGTCGACTACCTGTTTGGGGTCCGCGAGATGATACTAATCGATGGTTAGAGACCTTGAATGACATGGCTCAAAATCGTTCGCAATGGCGCCGGTGCATTTATTCTTTGTGTTCTCTCAAATCCTAATCTTCTGGATTCTCCAACCCCTCTAGTTTTGACTTCCTAAACTTTTCTCACTGAATCATACTTCTTGAATAATATCTTTTAATCCTAACCTCTTCGATTACTTCTAATACCCTTACTAACTCTTCTACTATTGGATTTGAATTGACAATTACATCTCTGTGCTGATGTGGTATGGCAACATGAGCTGATGTACTTACGTACAAAGTTATACGTTGCATCTGACTGGCTGACTGGCTAACTTGATCGATGTCCAATTTGCAATCTACTTCAAATGTACGTCCACTATATTATATTTCTACCTACATTACTTGTTTCCCAATATTTCAGGCCGCTTGGCAACAACACTTGGTCAACATAAGGGACCCATATTTGCCCTAAAGTGGAACAAGAAAGGAAACTATATCCTCACAGCAGGAGTTGATAAGGTTAGTTTTTTGTCTTCTAATACGAAACAAACACATTTTAATCAGGTACAGTAAGTTCATTTAATTTGACCAGCACTATTTTATAGTGTTCCTCGTAATGGGTTAGCACACTAAAATTCAAAATTTCATTTAAATATAACAACTGGCCTCCCATTTACTTGTACGCCAGTAAATTTTAAAGCTTATGACAGCAGATTCGAGTTTTGACTTGATATCTGTTAAGTGGTAACCTGAATTGCCCAGCTGTGGTAAATAATATTTCAAGGAAACAGTATCGTGAGAGAGTCTAGTCACTTAACTGACTGTTCATTTCACATTTCATGAAATAGTGTGATGATAAACAAACAATTTGGTGAATACTGTTACATACAGTATATCTCTCCAAGACTTAAATACTCCAAGATGAATGAACGTGAATCAACTTTCCTAATTACGGATTCCCAAAGGATTCCCCATCTAGGACTGTTGGCTTCAAAGACTCTGAATGTTGTTATAGTTTTGACGTATTCCAGTCATATACATCGTTATAAAAGATCTACAATATCCAGCTCACTTTATCTAGTTTTTGCGACAAAGTAATTATTGTTTATCAATGATTTTACTAATTTCTAGTTATAAATATGATAGATGCGACAGCAGCAGTTACCTTACAGTAATTTAAAAAATATTACTTATAGTGGGGATCTTCATTTTTAAGTACGTGCACATTTTCATCTGCATATTGTGTTGTTTTTTTATCTTTAGACAACCATCATATGGGAGGCGCAAACTGGCAGAATTGCTCAACAGTTTGCATTTCATGTCGGTACGTCCATTCAGTTATACTCTCTCTATAACTGCACATAAATGTTAGTGACTATTCGCTGGAAATATCCGATAACATTTCCACTTGTTAGGGATTTTGATTCTATTTTTGTTGTATTTTAACATGTTTGCAAATAGATGGTGGATATTTTTATATTACGGTTCATTTGACACATCTCTCAAAGCCTTTTGTTAAAGTTCCCCCTTTATCCTTGGCTTATGTATAAGTATCTTTTTTCCCTTCAACGACTTATTTCGATGTTCCCTTCCCGCTAATAATAAAGTTCCTGATAGTCATGTCTAAGACAACTTAAAGGGATCCAATTATGAACTGAGAATATTCTTATAGATTGTAATGTGTTATTTTCTGTAGTTCGTTAATCCTGTAACATAACCAAAACGGCAACTTTAGCTATTTAAAAACTCAATCCTACAACACTTTTTGACTAGATTAAACTTAAGTGAATCGGGATATTGCAGTTTATTGACTCGACATTATAGTTAACATAAAAAGAATATATCAATCTCTAACCTTGCCACTTACATTCTAAAGTGTTTGACGTCATGTTGCTCTCTCGATGATCCCAACCTACGCGAACAATTCTTTGAAAAGACCTATGATCCAGCACTAGTAATCTATGAATATCCTTCACCCTTAAGGTCCACATTTCACAACCATAATGTATTTTTTTAATCTAAGTAGAGTATTCAATCAATTAACCATTTTTCCCATTTCCTTTAATTTCCTAATTTTTGACGACAATGTATAACCTCATTAGGATTCATAAGCTTGTACTGAATTTTAGGTTATGCCGTTTTGTTTTTTGGTTAATTGTTTACATATCCTCTTGTGTCAGTTAACTTGTATGTCTCAATTATTCCATAGCTGTGAGCTTTCGTTTCTCGACTACAAAGTTGGCGGTTCTTCCCGACAGTTGTGTTAAATTTTCCTTATTCAACACAGTTCCAAATCATAGTTGAAAATCCTCCATTTACTAAGTCGGACTAATACATATAGGTTGAATCCTGCCTATCCCTTTTAAGCGAACTCCCACATCCACCATAATCACAGAATTTAGTCAGCACAATCATCTTAGTTTACTGTTGCTATCCAAAAATTAAAAGATCCTGATTCAATTATTTTTCACAACTTTATGATGAAAATTTTATTTTCCTTTTCAAGCTCCGACACTGGATGTCGACTGGCAATCATTAGATAGTTTCGCATCTTGCTCGACAGATACAAATATCCATGTTTGTCAGTTGGGTTGTTCTTCCCCAGTGAAAACATTCCAAGGTCACGAGGTAAGCTTTTGTCTAATTTATAGCAGTAACTGTATTCTCTTAAATTCTCTCAGTGCATTTCGTATGGCCTGTTTACCTTATGGGTTAACCTAACTAACTTGAAAAACTTTTACTTATGGTAGATTTTTCCGGCTGTGTTGTATTCTTTGAGCATATTAGAGACTAATAATAGGATTCGGAAATAGCTTTCATCATGGTCAAGAGTAAGTTGTAAATCCACTGAAAATCAAGTAGTGTATAGTCAGTCATTTCGAAAAGTGCATTTGAAATGAATTTGAACAAAAATAAGAAAAATGAATAGTCGTGACGTACACCATTTCGTGTAGCCAGTTTAAATGACAGTTCACTGTAGTCTCAGTTACAAAAGCAATGTTTAAGTTCAGAGTCTGTATGTATTTATGTATTCAATCCTTTATAAGATTACCTCCAATATTTTGTTTCATTTGAGATTTGAAATACATTCTACGCACTTTGTGAGTTACAGAATGAAGTGAACGCAATCAAATGGGATCCTAATGGACGACTTTTAGCTTCGTGCTCAGATGACATGACACTAAAAGTTTGGGATATGCATCATGACCGTTGTGTACATGATCTTCGGGGTCATACGAAAGAAATCTACACCATAAAATGGAGTCCTACAGGTCCTGGGACAGCCTTTACAAACGCCCCACTTTGTTTAGCTAGGTAAGCTTGCAATTTATTTATCTAGATGGATTTCCTTTACAAAATGCACTTATGATTGTACATTTCCAAAACTAAGAAAACCATTATGCTTATTCATAGATTTCGATGGTAGTATTTCACAACAGCTGTCTTGTAGAATAATGTTTGACTGAAGTTTTTCGCTGTTTACTGATGAGGCTTAATATTCTCAAGTTAGTATATCCCTTTCAATGATGTTGATTTTAAGCTGAACTCTTCTGTTAAATGCTCATAACCCTGTTTTAATTTGTGCTCTTGATTGTTTCATTTCCCATCTGATGGTGTTTTACCACCATCCAATTGCACTGAATTATGCTTCTTGAATAATATCTTCGAACCCTAATCTCCATTACCGCTAATCTACTATCTCTACCACTATATATATATATATATATATATATATATATATATTTATAACAGCGTCATTTTCACCACCTGTTTATATGTTCAATAGGTCTAATGGACCGTACATCAAATGTCACGTTTAAAAATATCCTTTACTGTTACGCCTCAAATCCAGTGTATTTGCGTTTGTTCTACTTTCCCATCGTTTCTATCGTGAAAGCAGTATTTATTTGAATGGGTATTAGCTTCAATTCTTTGTATAATACTGCCTTACATCTTGTGTACATTAATTTGATTGGTTGTCAAAAAAATCTACCTAAGAGTGCGTACACTTATCGATTTTTATAAGTCAATCCTCTCGTGATTTTTTATAATTTTTTATTTAAATCGATTGTTAAGTCCGAAGCCTGTCTAGCATCATAGTATCAGACCCAGACGGAAGGACAATCGGCTATATAGCTTATTCAAGTCAGGTGGCTAAACAGACAGACTAGCTTTTATATGTCTGTCTATCAAAATTTTATGTGTTATGACCGGTATGTGGTAGACCCTTTAGTTTATTGATTTCTGTGTGGTTAGTCTATAATTTTCTATTCTAAATTTAGTCTGGCCACATCTTTAGTTTTCGGTCTATTCTACGGTACGCATTCAAAATTTGCGTCAAAATGGATAGCGTATTTTAAAATTTAGGAAAACAGATTAAAACAACGTATATTTATCCGCACCTTATCAAATATGATGATAAATTACCCTGATATTTTGTTCTTCATTTGGACTTTCCTTGTGATTAGTATCTACATACAGTTGATTTCTAAACTTAACCTTTGTGACTTTTGTACTGTTAATTCGTCATTGTTTAAGTGTATAGCACTTGTGGAAAAATCGGGGCTTAAAATTTTGGAAACAGTATATCCTATCCATCATATAATAACTGTTTGTTTATTGTCTAACTAATTTGAAGTTACTGCTTTAGCATTCTTGATTATTCTTATCTAGACCCAGCATCTAACCATTATTTAACTGAATTAGTTTTAAAGATTTAGTTTATAGCAACTTGCCATCTAGTAATATAGAAATTTGCCCTGGTTGGAGTTCGTTAAATTTCTTGACACATTGGTGGTCACTAGTAAGTAACCTGTCAAGCTTCCGAGTGATTTAGTGATCTGTTTCATAAGTTTCATTTGTACTTCCCTTGTTAAACTTATCATTTGTTAGTGGCGTCCTTAACTTGATTGTCTGAAATTCCACACTAAGTATCTAACTTTTGAATAATTCGGAAAATGCTTTGCGCCTCTTCTATCGTTTAGTGCAAGCTTTGATTCAACTGTTCGCTTATGGGATGTCGAAACAGGTCAATGCCGAAGAATATTATCAAGACATACGGAACCTGTATATAGCGTTGCATTCAGTCCTGATGGTCGTTTGTTAGCGACGGGCTCATTTGATCAATGCGTTCATATATGGAACGTTGATGTATGTTTGATTATTTTTACTTAGCCTTTCCATAATATTTTATTTTGTTTAAACTTTGACCATCCGCAAACATCAGAAGTTTGCCAAATTTTTCTAGAGATAACCATAGATATCGTTAATGCAGTCTTCGATTGCTAAAAATTTAAACAATGTATATATACTGGAAAAGTACTTTACTGTCCATCTCGTACTTGTTTTTAATTTACTTGGAACACCTTAACATTATCTCAATCCATCTGTACTTTTGAGTCACTAATATGATTGATATACAAATAATGTACTCAGTTTGACTTGTCAAAGTCATCAGTAGTGTTCCTAACTCGGAAAATTTCTTACAAAGACGAATAGAGTTAAGGAATTTCTTTTCAGTTCATTTTTTCCACGGTTGTACAAACAAAATCAAGTAACATTTTTATATGATGACAAAAGTTGCTAAGCTACATGATCGAACACTAAGTAAATTGGAATCCAACCCTGTCATTTAGTTTGTGCTTGTAAAGCCCAAAGTACATGAATGATGTGCAGTAGTCATATGTTATTCCCGTCACAAATCCGTGCGATAATGTGCTTGCTGTTGTTGGTGGTTACACATATTCCTCTCTTGTAAAATCCCTCAGTAACGATCTCAGTTTTTTCCTTATAAGTATCAGTCGATTGTTCCACAACTTCAATTTTTAGGAATTGTCTGATACGGCTTAAGTAACAAGTATTTTACCAAATCGTTATCGTCTTGTACTTTGGTTTCCAGTTATTTCATATTCGTCAAATCCGCCTAACTATACTTTTCGTAGATATCAAATCTCTAATATCCTTCTGCGTCAGTCATTACTCTACCCTCTATTAACAAAAAACCTTTCTCCCTTTTATTGGGCCACACACAATATTCATCGATTGTTTTTCCTTCGTATCTCATTGGCTTAAATGAACTCAGTTGTGGTCTGGTTGTCTAAAGTCAGTCTGATTAAGATTTCGTCCCCCAGTACAGAGGGAAGGTCACAGAAAATTTTATGACCTAATTGTAAGCGTCGTATTTCATATTATTTGTTTGTGTTCATTGTTTGTTGCTGAGAGAATAATGGTTACAACTCAAATGTCAGTCATGACATTCGGTATGTAATCTATATTTGTTTGGTCTAAGAATTACATTTGAAGTCCATTGTTATCATATAGATTTACAATAATCAACGGATATCTTCTGAATTTAATGCTTTGTTTAATCCGTTTTATCTTGAAAGCTGTTAAAGCATAATTTTGCTTAGGATCATAAATTCGCGAATTCGACTTTCACCTCAATATAAATCGGTTTGAGACTGTATCACACAGCTTGATGCTAAACCGCTCACGTAAACATCTACTTGGTTAGTAAATTACGTTGTTTATTATTCGCCTTATCATCCAAACCGGACGAGGTTCTGTGTTGTCAACGTGACATAGACGCCGCGTCTTCCTGGAACCCTCCAAGGCTTATTCCTGGTTCCAAGCCCAGATAAAGGAAGAGCGCTGAGAACTAGGTCAGCGACCACAAATCATAGGAAAACAACTTACTAAGAAACGCTAACCAGAAAAAATAACTCGAATTCTGCCCTAAGAGTTGAAAGGTCTTCATTTAGAAGAGTTCTCATGCCTCATGATGAAAGCCGAGTTTCTTCGGAAGCCACGAGCTCGACATTCCTTCTGACAACTAGAGTAACAATTAAAACAGGTAAATGAAATGTTTGCACAATGTGGGAAACCGACAGGACCATTCCAGTTACTGCGAAAATGAAAAGATACAACCTGGTGGTGCTTGGAATGTGTAGAACTCATTGGACACAGATTGCTCAAAAATGACTATCTTCATGAGAGGAGAAAAATGCTTCACACACAAGGAGCTGCACTAATGTTGTCCAAAGGATGGAAATCTCATGGACCCAGTATCATCAAAGCCTACTTCAAAACAAAGGAAGGGGGGATTACAACGGTTTTCACCCCGTACTATGTGACTACTAACGATAACCATGAAGATGATAAAAGTCAGTTTTATGGAAGGCTGCTGTTAATCGTCGAGAAATGCACTAGGGGTTTGACTTTGGGGAATGTTGGAACGGGCAACACTGGATATAAAGACATCATGGGATGACATGGACTGTGAGAAGAAGGGAGCGAAAATAATGACACATTCACAGTCTATATACCTTCAACAAACTGGATATAGTTTCATCATATCTACCCGAATCGCACACACAGCTATATGGGTTTCACCGAAACACGTTACGGCGTACCAAATCTATGACATCTGCACCAATACGAAGCTCAGAAGGACCGTAGAGGACGTGAGAACATAGAAAAGTGCTGACACCTAAAATTGTTGGCAGACGTGAAAAAATGAATCGTAGTTGAGAATAGCTGGGAAGAAGAGCCCAGGACAGAGTTGGTTGGAGAATACTGGTCGGCGGGCTGTGCTTCATGAAGGGTAACAGGTGTTAGTAAGTAACCATCCAGATCATATTATGAAGTAAAATATTTATTTTGGAAATTGCTTCTTATAATTCAGTCTGTGCAACTGAGACTTGTGTATAATAATTTTATTATTGCTTTGAACAGTGAACAAGAGCTGTTCCATAGTTGCTGAAAGTATTGAGTAGTGTCAGTCCTCATATTTACTAGTCTTGCTTAATTATTTCCAAATACTAACTCGTCTATGAATTTCACCCCATTAATTTATTATTTTTTTCACATTGTTTTTTTGGCAGTCTGGTAACCTGATTAACAGCTATCAAGGAACTGGTGGCATTTTTGAAGTTTGCTGGAATTCTCGAGGCGACAAGGTGGGAGCCAGCGCTTCAGATGGTTCTGTAAGTTTATCCGGATCTTTAAATAAGTATTTGGTTGGCGATACGCGCCCTAATTTTAATGTTCTATCACAGAAAACCCTCTATAAATATTTTACCCGGTTATTGATGTTAGTGGATTGAAGTTTCTTTGTAATTCTAGTGTACATTTAAATCTACTATCTTTTTATCAAAATCTATTTTCAGTTGTTAAATTGTTTTATCCTTTTAGGTTGTGGTTCTCGATCTAAGAAGGTAGCAGTAGCTCTTCTTTCCTATCTATTCGACTTATGGATACTGATCAATAGCCGTTTTCGCATATTCAAAATTTTCCATTGCAAACAAGTGATCTGTTAGATTATTTGAGTCGAGATATAACTAGATTTGCTGTTTGGGTGATATAAGGTCGTAACTTCAGACCCGAAGCTTTCAATCAATAATCAGATTTTAGCAATAATTCAATTATACTGTATTCGGATGGTTTAAATTGCTGTTTGTATGCTTGCCTCCAATTTTAAGTTGCAACTTCAATTTGCTAACCGTAGCTGTAAACCTATTTCTGTCATTCCTGGGATGAATCAAGTTTTGTACATTTCTGAAAATTACTGAAGATAAGTCCCTTGTTATTGTGTTTATGCTTACAGCCAACGTTTTTGAACGTATTTCTTCCTAAAACATGAAACAACTGGCGAAAACTGGACTTGTTTTGCCCCCTTCGTTTTATTCATATTCATTAAAAGACTGGTTCTGAACTTCATAGATGTTAGGCCGTATCTTTCCTCAAATACTTTTTGCGCCGTTCTTGTCTGTCTTTTTCTTATCTCACTATTTTGGCAGCGTGGCTCAAACTGTTGACGTTGTAGCGTCTAACAACATAATACCAAATTAGATGTTTTCCTTGGTAAATGGTTTAATTTAGGATTGTATGTGAGCTCGACACATTACATTATCCGGTGATCGTAACATTTCGTGCTTGTTAAGGATTGTTGCGTATCTAGCATTTTGTCAAGTCGTTTCCATCCTAACTTTTGTGTAAAATGTTCCCTTATCTTTAACAATTTAATTCAACTTGTACCGTGTGATTTTGTTGGTAGATTAATAGAATTCAGTCTTGTTTATTAACATGTATCCACTTCTGTCTTCACAATGAGGTTGATATCTAAGCATGTTACCTATATCTTCTTGTTTGCTTCTATTTTTTACTTAACTGTTTTCACTTGTGAAGTGTACCTTGATTATGTCTTTTTAATTAAATCAATCTCTTATTTTCCCTCCATGACTTTTACTATTGATCACCAAATTCCATCTCTAAATCCTTGTGGACAAATCAAAACATTTCTTTTTGTTTATAACCATTCAATCACATGCCTATCTATCTATCTATCCATCTATCTATCGTCTCTCATTGTGTCACTGTTTCTGGCTGTGGTTCTTATTAAATCATGGAAATTTTCCGTCAGTTATTAGGCTTCTAGCGTTAACATTCTTTTTGCTGAGTTATTTTTATTTTTAATCCTTCATCCTTGTACTTGACTCATTAAAATTCTCTTGTTTGCTGTTTCCATTTGATATTATGGACCTGTAAATTATCTTCCTTTAACTGTTTGGTTATATTATCACTATGAATGTTTCACATATTTGGTTGCTTTTGTATGTATATTGAGTTATATGTTCTACTCTTAACTAAACAACTGTTTTTTGTTCGGGTTTATCTCTTCCATTTTCTTTCACAAAAAAGTGTTCATATGTGTATTTGTTGTCTTTATAATAATTTAGTTCTCATTGAACATGTTCATATCTTCGGAATTCTCCTAAAGCATATTTTTTCATTCTCAAAACTACCCACTGTATATTTGTCCGTTTTTTGAGAAGTTTCCCGGATGTAATAATTAACTTATTTGCGATTATGTACTTTTAATCTTGACATCTGAAGTTTTGGGGCTGGTAAATATAGCATTTATATCATGTTTGGTAATGCTTCGGCATTCTATTTGTGCTCGACCATGTTGTATGCTTCAGTGTGTGTTAGGCTTCAACAGTGTATAATATTTCCTATTATTGAACATTGTTCCTTGGGTTTTCAAATGAAAAATCAAAATATCCGTTTACTTTAGAATTATAAATTCATCTCTTGGGTATTTTATTTTTAGAAATAGTTATTCTTATTAGTCAAAAACTATCATTCAAAAAGATTCAAAATGAACTATTAGCTGCGTAGACTGGTATCACATGTACATTAAGTGATCAGATATTAATCACGATTGTCAGTTCGTTAGTGTTGGTCGAGTTTTATCGATCTAATTGGAGTAAGGTCTCGAATCACTCTTATATTATATATAGATAGGTAATAAAAATCTACGTTCATTAAGATTTTTAATACCAATTACTTATTTCAGAAATCCTATCAGATGTTTATTTTATGTATATAAGACTTGGCAGACATATATAATATAGTTTAGCAGTCAATAATAATCAATTAAAAAGACCAATCAATAACTATATAATTCAGCGAGTGTTTCTGCATACAACTTATAGCTAGCGAATAAAACTCATCTGAGAGTAGTTCTATTGCTAAACATGAGAAATGCTATCAATTATTATGATTAATTGCTATTAAAGAAGCGTGTAGTATGATTTCAATGTAATCTGTACATAGTTCCACATTTATATTGTGGCTTATGAGTAAAAATTCTAACTAGACTATTCTAATAAAGCCTTGATTTATCACGTCACAGACAATCAAGCTGAACCACTGTCTTCAAACATCGCATGAGGCTGACCAAACTTATGGTTGTTGATGCACATCGTTTTAACCAGTTGCAGCAGAGGACTGGAGGTTTCGAAGGATTTAGTCTGCGCATAGGCTTTTAGAAAATACCATAAGTATGTGTTTTGTAGAGATATTGAGATAATATCACTTTTGTTTAAACCATGAGCTTAAAAACGTTGATTAAAAGTATGCATTTCATGTCCTTATGTCTCGTCTTCCCGTGTATATTTGTATTTATTATATCAATGCGTGTTACTAGATGGTTAGAGACTGAATGACATGGCTCAAAATGGTTTGCAATGGCACAGGTGCATCCATTTTGTCTTCTCTCATTAGCTCAAGACCTTAATTTTTCTTAATTATTTCACTGGATTATACTTCTCGAACCACATCTTCAAACCCTAAGCTTCTCCATTACCACTAATACCTCTATTACATCTACCACTATGGGATTTGAATCGACAATTGCGCTGCTGTACTGATGTGGTATGGAAACCCGAACTGATGTACGTACGTACGTAGTTCTAGCTGATTTGAATGCATGTTACTCAACTGAATGTATAGCGATTGATAGTTACCAATAACCGAAGTAAATTTGAATAGAATACTTTCATATTCCTCCAAATACATCTTTCGGTTTACTTGGCCAGTGATGCAGCAGATCCAATAGGTCTGGCCAACTTTCTAATGATCTCATGAACCTTCATTTGAATACTCTTAACCTACTTCAGATAACAGAATGAATTGAAGAAGTCTGATAGGATAGATACATTTGAAATTCACTAAATACTTCAGAGTAGAAGGGATTATGCTAGTAACCTAGTATGCTTTTTTCCACGTTAGTCAGTTGCAATGCAGAACGTCGTACGTACGTACATGAGTTCGTGTTGCCTTACCACATCAGCACATAAACGCGATTGTCAGTTCAAATTTCATCGTGGTGGAGATAGTAGATTAGCGGTAACGGAGAAGATAAGGGTTTGAAAATATTTTTCAAGAAGTATAATCCAGGGAGATAAATTTAGAAAGTGAAAGATAAAGGTGATGAGGAATTCAGAAGATCAGAATTTGAGAGAACACAAAAAGTAGATGTCATTGTCTATTCTTTGAGCCACGACACCATAAGATCCACCCAGGTGTCTTCCCTCTTCACTGAGTCTACCTACTTAGGCATTGAAGTCACCAGCCACTGTTACTATATCAGATCGCCTAACGTTTTGGAGGAGACTCGAAAGCTTTCTGTAAAACTCACCTTTCACGTCGTCTGAGCTGCAGTCAGTGGGAGCGTAGGCAGATTTGATGAAGGGGCAACGGCTAGTATCCTTGTCTTTGCGAGTCCTTACTGTCCTGTTTATTCGGACAGTGCACAAGCGACTGTCTACCGGGATCCAATCTAAGAAAGTTATTTTTGCCCTCGGACTCAGTGCTATACCTACACCAACGAGGTCACGGAAAGCAGCAGCATGGCTTCCAGATACATGAAGCTTAAACCTATTTGACTCTCTGTCTGCACAAGGTGAAATCGAATTAATGGTTTTATTCGGATCCTTTATGCTCGTTTCGGAGACGCAGTATACAACGACGGCATCTGATTCCAGAGTCCTAGCTAATGAATCCTGGCCCCATTTTACACAAAGTTCGAACAATAAAAGCTCTAACATGTAGTTTAGAACGGGGTTTCAGAGAGACCAGGAATAACATTTTGTGAACTTGAATAGTTTACATAAGCGGTAAAGGGATGTAAGAAGGGTGAGTCGTGGAGATAAGAGAGACGTTAGGGCGTGTAGGGAGGGTTTGATTGTGACCAACTCGGTCTCGTACGCTGTTACGGGTATGATGGCGGATGTCACTCCTCGGCTCCCCACACCGTAGAAGGGTGTTTCCTGAGGAACCTGAAAAGGAAGGTAAATTAGTGTTGGTCTCAGAGACCTGTGAGCGTGACCGCAGAGCCCAAGAGAAAACTGGTTGTGGCCGGTCACGCACGGCCTTTCTATGAGAAGTTTTTAAAGTGTTAGCTCCGCTCTTGTTTAAAAGGCCTTAGCGTCGGAGACGGAAATCCATCAGGTAGGGTGAGGTGCGACATTTTTGGGTCGACCTTTTCTAACCCTTCCTTCCTTGTTCGAAGTCAGTATCGCTGCAGATGCTGGTTGTCCGAGGGAAACACCTTACAGCTTTCACACCTTTCTCCAGTCAGCAGTACGACTTCGCCCTCAGACCTTGGGTAACTGCTTTTAGTCTCATCGTTTTCCATTAGACCTGCCTGGCATGGTAGGAATTTCAGGAACATATGTTGGAGCCAATATAGCTCGGTTGGGTCAACACGATAGGCAAGCCTGACCACCACGTCAAGGTTGCAGCGACGGTTGACTTACTACATGTAACTAATTCATTTGTGATGCGGTGAATGCTTAAGCTTACATGATGTCTACAATATTGCTATACGCCTTTGTATTTTCCACTGGTTCACGCTAGGATATGTGGTTATATGT